AGCTGGTACTCCGGTACTTCGGATCGTACTTCGCATCGTACTCCAGCAGCTAAGACATGCTTTGTGTTGTTCGCAATTGGACATTTCAGTGAGAATCTACCATCCCCAGGTCGATCGTTCCGGTCACCGGATACTGCAGGAACCGGCAGGAAAGACGCGGAAAAATCGCCGGTTCCTGCAGGAAAACACCGGAAACCAACGGAACATGGAAGCAGTATTCCGGCCGGAAATTTTTCGGACTTTTTCCGGCGGATTTCCGGCCGGTTCCTGCCGGAAAGAACAGGAATTGGCTGGAATCCACCGGAAAAAAATCCGAAAAATTTTCGGCCGGAATACTGCTTCCCTGTTCCGTTGATTTCCGGTGTTTTCCTGCCGGAACCGGCCGGTACTTTTCGACCTGGGTCTTCCATCATGTGTCTCAGCAGTATAATTCAAACTATCAACTTTACTCTTTGTGTTGGATTTCAGCTTGAAGTACTGGAGTATCGTCGGAGTATCATCGGAGTACTGGAATACGAGCCGGAGTATCGAAGTATTATTGAAGTATCGCAGTATGGGAGTCTCAAGTCAGTAGTCAGTAACTGTAATTCCCACCACACTTCGTTTCATGTTTGAGAATCAAAATGATCGAAAAGAAGCAACGAAGTAATTAACTGTAAACACCTCAAAATGGGTTCACCCTTTGGTATTTCCGCCAAACTCAGATACTTCGGGCGTACTCCAATACTCTGACAAATACTCCGATACTTTAAGACATACTCGATACTTAATTTTGTTATTCTGAGTCTTGTTGCGATTCTCGTGAGCCAACTTCGATGCTTTTAATACGTGTTTGGCACTTTTGATGGATCCGAAGTCAGCCGTTTTCCCCTTGAATAATAGGTTGTTTAGTAGACAAAGCAACTAGGGTGGTATCTAGTGAACGAGACGTCGCATTCCTCTTTTCCGTCTTTGTTATAGTTGAACGCAAGGGGGGAAAGGGGATTTCCAAGATTTCGGATCCCTGAGAGTACAATGGGAATCCTTGAAATCCCGGAAGTACGATGTATCTTATAAGGGTATTCATAAGTTCACATGGGCTCTCTTATGGAGGTACCCATAAGTCCTCATGAGCTATCTTATGGAAGTACTATAAGCAAGGGGAAACAGCAGACTTCCGTACTCCACGAGTCCCTGGAAGTCCCTAGGAGTTCCAAGGACTCCCAAGAAATTTCAAAGAGTTCCAAGGAGCCCCATAAAATACAGGAGCGCAGCTCTTTACACATTAGTTTCTTTTTATTAGTGTTTAACCTTTGACCTTTAACATTTGATCTGAACAGTCAGACCAGTATGATGCATGTAGGTGCTACTACTTCGGAATATGCCAAAGTAGCGAGAAGACCCAAAAGAGTTCCAAGGAAATCCCGGGAAGTCCCAGACAGTCCCTCGAAATTCGAAGAAATCTCATGAAATCCTGGGAAGCTCAGGAGTCCGCGGAAGTCCCAAGAGGTCTCTGGGAGTTTCGAGGGATTCCTGGGAGTCTGCTGTTTTCTCCTTGCGTGTGAGTGGCGTTCTTATCTCAGTTTGCGTTCCTACCTAGAAGCTCTTGAAAATCTATGACGATTAATGCTAGATATCTCTTTAATAGTTAGCGGTATCCGACATCCCTCCACGAAATAATGCTTGAAGAGTAACTGGAACTACCGCAAGACAGTGCTTGAAAATTTAACAATACCAAACATCAATAGCCCTTGGTGAATTATGAGTACCTTCATAGGATAGGCCATGAAGACTTGTGGTACCCCCAAAAGATAGGTCATAAGAACTTATGGGTACCCCATAGGATAGGCCATGGGGGCTTATGGGTGCCCCCAAAGCATAGGTCATGAGGACATGAGTATCCCATTCAAGAAGAAATAGGAATATTTAAAGTGGTTGACAAAGGTACCTGTGATACGGTTTCCTACATAAGAATTGTATCTCACAGATTTCTTGTACTTCGGTGTACTCCCAGAGTCCAGAGAGTACAATGGAAGTATGGAAGTACAATGGGAGCACGGGAGTACGTGTTTTCGTCCTTGCTGGGCTCTCATGTACTCCCATTGTACTCCCGGGTCCAGGGAGTACAACGGAAGTACGGGAGTACAGCGGAGTATAGAGAGTACTGGAGTACATGGTTTTCTCCTTGAGAAATAGGAATATTTAAAGTGGTTGACGAAGGCACCTATGATACGGTCTCCTACATAAGAATTATATCTCACAGACTCCTTGTACTTCGGTGTACTCCTGGAGTCCAGAGAGTACAATGGAACTACGGGAGTACAGCGGAGTACATGGAGTACGGGAGTACGTGATTTCTCCCTTGCTTTCACGTTACAGTGTTAAAGTGTTAAAGTATGTTATTTTAACTTTGACTTTAACGTTAAAGTTAAAGTTAAACTCCCACCCCTATGTTGGACTCCCTGTACTCCCGGAGTCCAGGGAGTACAATAGGAGTACGGGAGTACAATGGGAGTACGGGAGTCCGGGAGTACGTGTTTTCCCCCTTGCTTTCACTTCATTCTTACATATATAAGCACTACATATACAATGGTATATTTTAGTTGTTCTAGATAAGTGTTAGCGATTCATAGAACGAATGAAAGATATGACACGAAGTAAGAAAAGCATTACGAGGAGCTAAACAAAACTCAACAGCAAAAATATGCAAAAGGAACCGAAAATACTCGAAAAATCCTCAATTCTAGTCTGATTACAACACCTCCTCTATACGTCAATGAACATATACATACTTTCTTCTACCTTTCCTCCAATACATACAGAATACTAATTCAACAAATGGCAAGGAAGTCGTAAAACTAGAGTGTTGATGTAGATGCGGACGTATGGCCTCTTCAATACTGTACTAACACCTGCAACCCCTTACATTCATACCCTCAAAAAGGCTAGACAGGACGTACCGACATGACTAGAAGTACGACTGATCTTCTTACCTGTCCTTCGCTGATCTAAAGAAGTGTTTAGAAGATGTAAAAAAAACTCGGTATTTCAATGCATTATATGTGACTTTTTCAATACGTCAACCGTCGTAGATTTCTACCTTGTCTGATTTTGTTGATCATGATGCCTTGAATTTTGTCCTCCCGTGAACAGAATACTTGAGAATAATTAGAGATTTTTTAAAATTAATACCTAAGGAGAAAGTACTTTTGTTTCACAGAAACAGCGTTTCGTCATAATTCCATTTGTGGGTAATGGATGTAAGTAAATTTTTCTATGCTTGTGAAAATAACGATTTAACACTTCCATAGTGATTGCCACCGATACTTCTACTTGTTGGCGTAGACCGTCTCAAGCCGAATAGAAGCACGACACTACATGCTACTTTTGCTAATGATCATTTTCAAACTGTTCGTCTGTTGCTCGAAAAGGGAGCCATCAATCAAATTATGAATATCTTCAATGCTACTTCAATTAATGTAGCGAAGATTCCTGCCATTAATTATCCTACTAAGTGTCTGAAAAGTGAAACAAATGTTCACGTTATCATTTACATCTTCCCAGCAGAATGAAGAATTCAAAAATCAGGTAATCTTCTGATTCATTACCATACACGTTATTACCTAAGTTACCCATCAACTACTGACGAAGTAGTACTCAAAATTATCAATGCTGAACATCTGCTCAATAATATTGGAATCGAAAGAATAGCCGAATGGATACGACAAGTAAAATAAAAAAATCGATTTGACCGATTTTTTTTATGACCTTATACGTGGCACAAATTGGTTTTTGCAAACAGCTCAATTTAACACTGACAAAGTATGCCAATAAGGACTTGTCAACAAGTAGTTTTTCTCGGATTTCGCATTGTCGAAATATTCGTATTATTAACAATCCTTGCCACTAATCGTTGTACAGGAATCATTTATCGAACTTTTCTCTTAACACAAAATGATTTGGATCAATATCAAATTGAAGAAATCATATTGACTTATTCTTCTGAAATAAACTGAGTATCATATTAGAGTTGATTTAAGTCTCTTGCATCAGCAACATTTTATGATTATAAATAAAACCAATAGAAAAAATTGAAGAAGTTTAGTCAAGTTACAAAAGAGAACTATTCAAAAATTGAATTTTGAATTTGTGTTGACAGACGAATAGAATGCTGTTGCTATTCTTGTATTGTTGGTTGTAGTAATGTTACTGAAAAGTATGGGTAAGAATATGGCTGTTGTTGAGTGATGATTGATAGATTGGCCTTTTCATCAATTACACTCACCCTAATTAACCAGGTCGTTATTAACATAAACAGATATTGAAAACAAAACAACTTTGAAAATTATCAAATCATAGAAACGACAAGTAACACTACCGCATTGCCCACATAGTATAATTTGAACAATGAAATTAATCAAGTTTCTATCTACGCTGATTCAATCACAATATCATTTGCAATAATTATGAAAACAATCAATATTGAAGACTTCTTTCGTCGAGTTCTTAGATTATGCTAGTGCGCTTATTATTTTCTTACTATGCTTTACAATTCGGATGTGAGATTTTATTTTTTTCTATTTATTCATCGACGTTATTTATTACATTTATGCTAGTATTTGCCTCAGTTAATTGGTTTTTTTGATAGCCCATCTTCGATACAATTACATAACTTCAGTCCAGCACGCGTGACATACAAAGTCATTCGAAATGTTGAAATTGTAACCATTTTTTATTCAAGTTCATTCTCAATTATTTTCTATTTGGATTATACGATTAAGTAACGCTTGCAATTGTCAAGACCAGTTATAATTGTTTTCAAGCAAACTTAGGACAAGAATAGCAGAATCCATTCGGATATTATAAGAATTCAGATAAACATATGTTTCAAGAAAAAATTGCTAGTTTATTTTACTATTAATTCATAGTTCATGTAGTTTGTTACAACAAAAAAAAATATAAATGTACAAGAGACATTTTTTTGGTTGCTGATATATTGTTGATAATAGTTACACATACAGTCACTGTCTTCGTTCTTTCTCTTCACCGTTGTGAACCATTCCTTCGCAGCCGATCATATTGCCTATTTTCTTCTCTGTAGTACCACTGATAAGTGAAGAATCGCTTGGTCCATGATTTGCAGCTCTCATTTTTTCAGTCGCTTCTTGCTTATCGTGTGCACCTGAATCTTTCCAAGCTTGACTACCTGTAACATTGCCAATTGTTTCTTCAATTGCTCCTTTTACATATTGAGCATGTCCACCTAAAAGACTTGTATTGTTGTTGTCAGCCATTATTTAACTTAATTCAACGTCGATAGTATGTGCAGTAGAAGTAAAAATGCGAGAATGTGAAAGCAATCGACATAAGATGAGAAGAAAAAAAGCAAGTGAGAGTGCATACAGTAGAAAACAGAACGAAAAAGACAGAACAGCAAAAAAAAAGTCAGTATATTGATCTGATGTCGACACTGGAGAAAAAAACAGAATATGTCATACTGAGTATTCACAGACATCACGTTGTAAGCTAAAAAAACACGCGTATTTCTCTTTTCTATCTTGAAGCATAGAAATTGTGTCGGTTGTATGGAGCTAAAGAGTCGTACCGAATAAAATATCATTGCATATATGTTGGCTCTCACGTGTTCACACACGTGTGTATGTCTCGTTGTAAAGATTTGAAACAGTTATTTGAAGAGATGGTGTTTCATAATGACAGTTCTTGATCGAAATCAGCCATCTACACGTTTTGATAAATCTATAAAATCACCATTGCATAAGATGTGGTTAGACACTCTCATCGAAAATAGATGCCAACAAGACGTTCAATGACTATAAATTGTAAGAACGTATTCTTCATATTCTTCTTCCAATTATATTTTATTTAAGAATCTTAAAAACGTCATAGTATCATCGTATTCAAAAGTCTTCGTTACAACTCATCATTACCATTGAAAAACAATTCCTCTGTCATCTATGCTCATTGTGTATATATTAAGGTTATGGTTTGACATTTGTTGTTTAATAAAAAAATTATTTAAAATACATCATTTTCTTCAGCATGATAGTGAAAGTAGACATGATTATAAAACATATTTACATCCTAAGCCATCGATGATCGTAGTTGAACTGACGCTATATAATATAGTCGAAAGTAAAATGTTGATACTTCGTTCAAATATAGTCACACGATGTTCGATTGTAGTTTCATATGTAAATAGCATATCTTGAGACTATGGGTAGGTGTAGGTGTGAAGGAAGAGAAGATCTACACTCACAATCTTCAACTATCAATACAATTAAAAGTGTTAGATTACTCTCATTATGTAACATACAGAAAAACCAATCATTCACTTTTCCGAGAAATAAAATAAAATATCGCTAAAAAAGAATAACGAGTAATTAATTTTACAAGAAAATACATAGTAGATAAAGAAATCTAAAATTATAAAATTGTGAGATAGACCTAATCAACAAATCATATTGCTTGATGATACTTTCTCTCTCGTGTATTTTTTCATAAGAAAAGTTTTGTTTAAACTAGCTTCATAGTTTTTTTTACTAAATATTTTCTTTGTCTCTACTCTTTGTTTTAAAAGAGTCGTTTAAAGAAATTAATACTCACAAACAGAACATTTAATGAAGCAATAAAAGAACAATCATTGTTTTTGAGTCGATAATATAGTAAAACATAAAAATTTTTTCTGAATTTAAAAGCAAAAATCTAGTAACAGCTTGAAACCTCAAAATTGTCATTATCAATTTCATAAAAATAAATTATCAAGACCAGCTTTTTTTTATTATATCCAATTTGCAGAAATTTTTCCCCGCTTTTATTTTGACTTGAATAGTTTCCGTTGTAGTAAAACAATAGAAATCATTGCTCAGAATGACTTTATTGTTGATGATATTATTTATTATTCAACAAACAAGATGTCTGAATGCCATTAAATCTCATATTAATAAAAAGGATTATTCTTGAAAAATACCAATTAAAAAAGAGCTATTTCAAATTGTTTGTAAAAAAAATTCATTTTCTTGATAGAAAATCCATTAATAAAAAACGTATTTTAACACATCGAAAGAAAGGCTGTTTTAAAAAGCTTTTTGTAAGCGTTTTGTTGAGAAAAACGTTATTTTTTTTAACCAAGTTTTGCATTGAAACGCACGAGTAGCGTTTTTGTGCCAAAATTGTGCGTTGAAACGCAGTTTTTCTATCATATTATATTCATATTTGCAATAATTTTGAACGCAACAATATAAGAAAATAGCTAATTTGTCTAATAATCGACAATATGAACACATTTTCTGTATTGATTATATGGAACAAACGTATTCTTTTTTAACAAAATGCTATCTGAATATCTTTCTAAGTTAACGGCATTGTTCAAAAAAATTTGCACGTGACAAGCAGAGTTTGGGACACGAAATACTTTGTCCTGCAAGGCTCTGTTATTAACTCGGATCTTCGAATCTTAATCTATATCATTCTTCGTTGGTTGATCTTATCCACGACAAGAATGAAAATCACACATTCTTTTCCGAAAAGGCATTCAATATAACTGCTTCTCTATATGAAGCAGTTAAATATTGATGTTATTTTGTATATTTTGTTCTTACATTTTTAATAATTCACGAACATTGATCAAGTTTGGTTGTCGACTCTTAGCAGCAGTAGGAACAAAATCGCTGTGGAAAATTACTGAAAAAAAAACAGTAAATGCTTCACTTGAAGAATAATTGTTGTTTGATCTGAGCGTTGAAGTCTTTTCGCAAAAAGAGGGCGCGGGAAAGGGTGTCCGGGTTTGAATGTAAGGATTCTTTTAATCACACCTAAACTTACATCCACACTCACAACCACACTTCACACCCGAATGAGGGGCTACAAATTGCGTTCTTATTGACATTGATCAGAGGGAGCGAATCATAATGATTTGAAAAAAATTTCGTAGATCTTTTTCAAAAAAAGTATCAATGATTGTGGTCCCTTTATGAAAAACATCCAACTAGACAATATAAATAGGTGGAAACACTCTGTCATCATCTGGATACTTTCCAACAGATAGACGTTGTACATCTCGAGGAATCTGCATTACATATTTCGATGGATACCAGCTTACATCTTCTCCAAGATAACGTAATGATAAGCCTACACGTTGATCGGTCAACGAATGATTCGGACCCGACCCATGAATAGTTAGTGGATGATGACAGAGAACATCGCCCGGTTTCATTTCCCATGATAAAAGGTTTGGATCTTGGCTAAAGTCTGGACATGCTACGCGACTGGGATCTATAAATTTTTCATCCTCATCTGCTGTTACTGCTTGGTAGAGAGTTCTATTCAAATGAGTTCCGGGTACATATACGACACCGCTGGACTCTCGTGTAACTGGTGTCAGCGCACACCATATCGATATTAAGTCATTGCCACGAAATGGCCAAAATGATAAATCGTTATGCCATGCAGTTCGAGTTTGTGTTCCAGGTGCTTTAATAAACAATTGATCGTAGAAGAATCGCACCATATTTACATTGTTCATCAGTTGAGCAGCGATACTTGGCAATTGTGAATTTTTAGCAAATTTTTCAAACGCAGGAATTGCGTCTGCCATGAAAGCAGCGCTAAAAAAGCGTTTGTCGTCTTTGCCATAACGAATACGGCCTTTATTTGCTTTCACGAACTCCATAGAAGCTTCAAGCATTTCATCACATTGAATGGATGATAAAACACCACGTAAACAAACGACACCAGCAAGTTTATACGCTTGAATTTCCTTCGGTGATACATTAAACTTCTTAACTGAATCACTCATCCTCACTGACGATAATCCTCGCTGTAACATAGATAACCGTAAGAAATTTGGAAAAAGATGGCTTTTTATCATTATATAAAAAGCATAAAAATAATCTCTTGAAATAAAACGACATTCTGTGTTGAATAAATATCACCATGATAAAAGTATAGTGTTTGCACAATGAAAAAAGACAAAGTCTGAGTCATGCAGAGGTTGCTATAAGTTATTTTATTTTTGTATGTGTCATACGGCACGATGTTTAGTTGGTTGTGCTCTATTTTTAAGTACATATATTCGTTTGCATGCATATCCATATAATTCAATAAAAGTTGAGTTGTCAATGAAGAGTCACATTCGATCGATATTAAAGAGTGTGATAGAAGCAACTAGAAGAATCTAGAAATTCTCGGAGAGATTTGATCGAGAGAAACATACAATAAATTAAGTTTAATTAGCGTGTTATGCATTATTTATCGTGTATCATCGTCGTGTGAATTTGTTGCTAGCAATGAATTGCGAAAGTATGATATGCAACTCCTTTGATGGCCTTGTAAGTTGACTTACATTATCTATGGTTATCTGCTCAAGTGGTTGAAAAAAATACCTATCACATATTAAATACAAAACATTTCTGAGCTTGGATAAATCAATGGATATTAACATGTTTCTTATCCATCCAGCCATGACAGATATACAGTGATATATGGATAGTTTGTTTTCTTTTTATTCCTATATTTTCTTTGTGCACGCGTCGAAACATTTTAAGACAGATTATTTTTATTATTTATTTAATGCGATCATTGTTGTGGTCCTTTTTTTTTATAAATATTTTCATGTGGTGAAAGCGGAAAACATTAAGAGTGGGTCTTTGTAAGAATCGACAAAAACAGATTGAGTCTCAGAGCGAAGCCACGTTGGTTTTCTTATTTCTGAGTTGACATGTTACCTATAAATAATTAATAAGTTTATTGATTTTCATTTGAAATTGCTCGATGCGTGAGTTACAGAGATTGCCCAACTGTTATGTAAAGAAATTTTTTGACTTTTACTCTACTTCAATAAAAATCTCAGTTGTCAAACTAGAAATATTTTGCATCAGTAGTTTTGATTTTAATGGAAAACTGTTTAAAAATTTGAAGGTTTTCGGTAGAAGAATGACTTTTTCTTTCAAATCATATTTGCATAACAGCCTATGAAAATAATCATTAAGCAGCATAGCCTTGAATCTGATCTGAAATGTATCGTCAACACTTCATGTATTCCAGTTGTGTTGTAGAGATAGACTAGATGTTTGGTAAAAACTCGATGGTTTTTTCACGAAATAGTTGGCATTATTTAGTGCGAACTAGTTGTCAAGTTTATGAGACTTATTTAGTGTTTTTCCGAACATAGATTTACTGATGATTATTGTAATCTACTTATTTGCATTTTTATGAAAAATGAATTGCCAACAATTAGTTGGAATCCATAAATTGGATATTGAAATATTGTTGCTAACAATATTAGTCAAACATAAAGTTCTATTTTTCGTGAACAACATTTAACACCTTCACAAAAACATGATTTTGCCCGTCTGTTTGGCAATATCTATCCAACTTTACCATTTTGGGTGTGGGGGGCGGGGGGTGTGCGTGTGCATGTAAGTGAACTGTATAATACACAACCACACCCACACCCACACCCTTCATCCAGTCCAACGGTTCTCAATTAAAAAAATAATTCTGACTGTTTGCTCCTTAGTGCTTAACAAATGAATGAATGTTAGTTTCGATTATCTTACATGCATTTTTAGACAATAAACAGTTTTCTTTCAAAAACAGAATTTTTATGCAAAAGCTATTTTTTCTAAAAAGGTTGCTGCTTCTTTCACTCCTCTCATTTCTTCATTTTTGTTAATATCTGCCCTATGATATTCATATATACTTAGATGTGCATGCTCACTCAATCAGAGATCGTCTTACCATGAACAAACTAGGCAGACTCAAGAGATGAACTCTGGAGTGTGCCCACAGGATTCGATTGAATATGAACAAAAGATCGAAAATCACCCACACACTCTGTTTTTCATTTGCGTAGTTTCAAATATCAGAAGAAAAGATCTTTCTCAAAAGGTGTCGTTAGATCATGAAAACTGATATACAGGGTGTCCCAGAAATAATCTACCAAAAGTTTTTTCGTATATATTTGCTATTTCATTTAACTTTATCAACAAATTATTTTTTTAAATTATAGGTGAATATACCAAGTTCTTATTTATCCGAACGATCTTTCATATTATTGTGTAAAACTATCACCTTGAATCGAGATACAAAAATTTTACTTTTATATTTTCAGAAAAACATGTAGCATTTTTTTTCTTTACTTATTTCGACTTTCTGTAGTTGTTTTCTGTAAATTTTGCTTCAAAGAAAAGATTTAAAAATTTTTCAGTCTACATATTCTTGTAGAACTCGACAAGCTCTATCTAACCATATGAAAATATCAAAGAAAAAACCTTAGTCGATTTTTGAATTACTCGCATCTTACAAAGAAAGCAAGATGTTTGTATCTCGATCCAAGGTGATAGTTTTACACAATAATATGGAAGATCGTTCGGATAAATAAAAACTTGGTATATTCACCTATAATTTTAAAAAAAATTGTTGATAAAGTTAAATGAAATAGCAAAGATATACGAAAAAGCTTTTGGTAGGTTATTTCTGGGACACCCTGTATTTCTATCTCGAAAAAACATAATTGTGTCTATCACAAAGAAAAAGACTATACTGAAGGTTAGTTCAGTGCTAGTTCTAATTATGCATAAATATAGAAAATATTTTTTGTCTTTTTGAAAAACGTTTAATTTTAAAACTACTCATTTTAGCTGAGTAATGTTCATTGGCTTAACAGCAGCTTTAGTAGTAATGATTGTCAACATGTCGGTATTATTGTTGTCCACATCGACAGTTTCCTAAATATACGATGACATCGAGTGAATGTAAGAAAAATCGGAATTCTTACGCACCGGGATAGCAAGACTAACAAGTTGTTGTCTTAGCGTCAATGAATTGATTTCGTCTAACACTGTCTGTGATACCTCATTGTTATTATTCTCAGAGTTACTCATAAAATGACATTGAGAACTACTCTGATCTATCGAGTTTGGTGATGGAAGCAATGATGATGATGATGAAGTTGGCAGACTTGTTTCGATATCATACCTACGAGCAATATCTTTGTTTTGATCAATCAAATGAACTTGTTCTTACTCTTTTTTATTACTGGTATTGACAATAAGAGAATCAATACAGGTATTTCCATGTCCCGTTCCTAGACCTTCGTCTTCTTCATCGGAGTAATCGTTGAAGTCAATTTGCTCGGGTTTAATGTAGAGTTTACGTGTATATACTCGTTGATACCGATCGACTAGAACTGAGACAAGCATACCGATAGTGCCCACACCACTCAATGCACATAGAACAGCAGTCAAACGTCCAAGAGCTGTAATCGGCACTATATCACCATAGCTAAACATGCAAAAGAAAATACAATAAACTTGTTCTTCCTCTCTCGTTTTTCCACTCGCTGTCGAACTACAATATCTATGAAAACAGGCGTTCTTACCCAACACTAGTGATTGTTACAATACCCCAATAGGTAGCTTTCGGTATAGAGTCGAAAACCGAATTCTCATTTGTACTCTCGATGAGGTAGACAGCTGCACCAAAGAGAAAAGCCATTAGTGTCAATGTGACTCCCAAAACAAGAAAATCCGGCATCGATTCTTCCACTGTCACAGCAAGAACACGTATGGTTTTAATATTTTTAAAAATTCGATAAAATTTGAATATACGAGCACATCGAAGAATGCGTAATAATGCAAGACTATTATAAATGCTGATATTTTGATGGCCTAATTGATCGACAAGATTTATAATAATATTGACATAGAATGGCATAACAGCAATTATATCGATCCAATTCATAAAACTCTTAAAATATTTCGATAACGATGGTGTGCTGAGTAGACGTAGAATCAGTTCAAGAGTGAAAAATCCAATACAAATCATTTGAATCCGATGAAATGGTGATGAAAAATAGGAAAGACATATGCGTTTACTCGATTGAAAACCGTTAGAATTCATCGAAGCATTACTCGTTTCAGTTTTATGCTGCTTGTATTCTTTTTGACATGCGTCTTCCGATAAATGTGAATATTGTGGCAAAGATTCAACTGCCAAGGTAATTGTAGAGATGAGAATAATAAATAACGAAAGAATATTAAATAGTTTGGCAATGCATGAAAATTCAGGATATTCCATGGTAGCCCAAATATACCGACGGCAACGATTTCGAGGTAATTGAGTTTTTTCAACCTCTTTCAAATTTTCATCTTTGCGAACTTGAGCAAGAGCATCTTGACCCAACTCAAAAAATGTGATTTCTTCAAGAAATGTATCAAGTGGTACCGAATTCGGTCGACGTAATCGACCTTTCGACTGATAGTAATAAAGAATAGCTTCAAAACAACCTCGATGACGATCAAAGAAATATTCATCAAGAACATTATCATAATAATATTTGCGTCGCTTTGCATTGCCTAACAACGTATGTGGATAGACTTCCAAAGTAGATTTGAACGTCTCAAAACGAACTCCACTTATATTAATGATAATACGATTTTGAAGCGAAATATTCACAGGCATTTTTCGTCTTTCAGCTGCAGTTAGCTGCTGATGGGATAGATCTCGCATATCGATGGCATCCCTAATAAATCAAGCGTCCGAGAGAAAATCATTAATCGCATGTAAAGTGCAAGAAAAAGAAGCAGTACGTGTGTATATGAGTGAATCGCAACTTTTAGAGCAACTGAGATTTTAGCTGTATTTAACAAATAATTTTTGTTTTCGCTAATTGATTTTGACAATTTTTTTTTGTAGTTTACAAATCTTTGAGTGTCCCACTACCATACCAAATTTCAGTTTTTTAACTCATACTGTCGCTAATTTATGAGACGTATACTATAAAAAAATCATATTTTATAGTAAGATGTACTAAAAAAACGATATTTGTCGAACATCGAAGGACAAAGAACAACAAGATAATGAATAGTCTCCCGACATCCTATAATACACATTTCGTGATCTATCGTGTAGAATAACACTCTACTTCAATTGTTTTCTAAAGCACACAATTGATAAAAGAGCGCTTCGCCTTAATGATATTTGGTCTGTGAAAAGAAAGCGATCTTTTTGCTATACAATTGATATTTACTCACTTTGTTGAAGGATATTTTGGGTTGTACAATCGGTCAAAATTTCAGCCTTCTACCTCTTTCTGTTACAGAGAAACTTACATTCAATGGCGAAATATAGAAAGGCATTTTTCATTAAACTAACGTTTTTTTGTGGTGCATTTACGTTGAAGTAAATTGTATCTCACTTGATATGTGATGAAGTGTTAGGGAAACGTTTGATGTGTGACATAAGCATCGAGTGTAATAAAATGCACTGCATAAAAATTGTTTTAGGTTTACTTTCATTGTTTCATGCCAATTATACCCAAAAGTTGGAATTCACTCGTGTAGAAAAGTGTGCGTAAAATAAAAGAAGGATACAAAGCTCATCAAAGATTTAGATTACTTACGGACTACGTTGATGTAAAAATGTATCATTCGTTTTGAATATTTTTCGACACTGTCTGAATAGATGTATACAAACCAAAAAATATGAATGAGTCTTGTGACAGATACGTACCTGCTTAAATTGATAAGAAATCGACGATCGATTGACAATGGTTTTCGAATAGTAGCCTCGATTCGACCTTGATCATGTGCAGATGGTGATGTGTCTGGCGTGTCCATGGTTCAGTGATCTATGGAAATATAGAAGCATGGAGTAAACAATCAATCAACCAGTACTATTTCAATTAAGTAAGAAAATATCGAAAATCTGACTCTTAATGAACTAGAGATCTCGCGTTCGTTGTCACTCATTTATTGTGTGCAAGCATTTTCTAATTTATTCCAGGTATTAAAACTTTGAAAAAGTATTTCATCTATGGTTTGTAAGGGTTTCTAATTTCTGATGTTGTATAACTATACTTGTTGAAGTCACACCGTACAAAGCTCTGAATAAAATAAAATACATTGAAAGCTGAATCATAAGAGCCTATTAGTTATTTTATTCAGTGACAAGTATGAGGTTGTGTTTGCCGTTCGCTTGATTACTTCTGATGTTCGATAGAAGAAAGAATGAAACAAGAAAAAAACTTGCAGTGAATCAATAAAGGTAAATATGTTTCTCTCTCAATTATCGATAATTGATTTGAGGCATCAATACTGTTGAAAAGAAAAAGAAACAGAAACAATTTACACGAAAATGTCTTCCCATGGCAAAGTTAGTATCGGATAGGTATGGAGTGTGAATGTGGGCGCGGATTTATGAGTGGGTATTAGTTCCAACGTGACCCACATCCACATCCAAACCTCACAAGTTTCAAAAGATGTGTCTTCGTTATAGCATCATTGCCGACACATGCTGATTCTGTTTCGCTTCATCTCAGTATTGACTCTAGTATTATTTTCTTGAATGATAAAAAAATGACCATGTTGATAGGCAATCAAGTGCACCATTCGTTGATTCCTTATTGAAATTTTTGCACAAATGAAATAATTACTCAAGTATACGTTGTGTAGATGCATCGTATTTTTTACAAGAAAAAAAAAGGAGCAAATATATGTACAGCAAGCAATTTTTACACGGTCTATGCGAGTGATTTATTTAACGCATACACAACGTGTTACCTTTGCCAAAAACACTAAAGAGACCTTCATTTTTATGCCATTCTGATCTAAATAAAAGCTTACCAAAGAATAAGGGTGATGCTGCTAGATTCAAAATAAAGTATAGCGACATTATTTGACTTCTCATCTTTACAGCATAAACTCAAGTAAAAACTTGTCCAAAAAGAAATTAAGATCAGAGATGAAGAACATGATAATCGAGAGTGCTGAGTTGATCACGAAGTAAAAAATGTACGGCACAGATCACCTCAAACTCAACTTGCATCTACCTTTTTGAAACTCATCTGATCTTATCAGCAATCACATCCTGAATCACATATCAAACAGTTGATATGTTGTTTTTTTCTAGTTTTTGTCGATATTGCTGGTCTTCTAATTCCTCTAACGAGGGAAGCTACTCAAGTTTGACCCACCATTTTGATTCGGATGCATTCTAGTTTGTAGAGCTCGACGAGCTAAGTTTTATGACATAAAATGTTCTTCTACTAAGAACGTTAAGTTAGATAAAATCAATGAATTGTACGTATGAAAGATCAAGTTGAGCCATTGATCAACTGTTTTTTAACCGTAGATTATCAATTAATAAACTAAAAACTGCTTAACGATATTTTACTCTGCATATTTCAATGTTGCTATCATGGCACAGATGCATCATTAACATATTGTAATACGAAAACATCAATAATTCTGAAAGAATACTATTTTATTATACCTGAAGTTTAATTCTTGCTAGGACGTATGGTCTAAATATGTGACTACTGCTTTTGGTTATTTCACTTGTTTTATTTGGAGAATATCCAGCATAGATTTGATGAAAACGATAAACAATGAAGAGATGTTCGAAACATAATATTCATCCACAATGATTACAAGAGATAAATGTGCTCTCATCGCAATTACTCTCTGAGTCGTTGTTCAATGTGAAAGAAAAGCAAACCTCTATCACGCTCAAAAATCACAGATGTTGCTGTGGAATATAGTCACAACTTGATCATTCAAACGAAAACCGTGATTGAAACTTATAAGTGGAGAGGAGCAGAACCAGCAAAGCATAAACTCGAGATATAATAAAATAGTATTCTTTCAGAATTATGGATGTTTGTCAAAGCGTAATATGTGAATAATGCATTTGTGCGATGTTAGTAATATTATAACATACGGTTTAAGATATCATTAGGCAGTTTTTAGTCTATTCACGAAGAATCTACAGCCAAAAAATGAGTTGATCAATGACCGAAGTTGATCTTTCGTATTTTGGTCATGTAAAATTTCAGTGACTTAAAGATAATCTCTCACAAGTAGAATTCATTGATTCTGTCTCACTTAAGACCTTATGGGAAAGACTTGGATATCGTCCCTCGTAAGCTTTCTTTAAATAACTGATAAACGCTTCTGAATACTAACAAGCAAGCACACAAACTTATTTTATTTCCTTTAAACTTTTTGAGTCAAGGAAGAAACCATTTTTTTTTCGTAAAAAATCTTCCGCTGACCCAAAGTATTCAAACTCAAAATTTTGAAAAACCGTTTACAGATTCGAATTTCTCGATCCCGATTACCTTTGGTCAAATTTCATGAAAAATTACCTTTTTCTCAAAAAAGGGTTTCTTTCGTAAAAAGAATTAAGAACGTTGTTAAAATCGATATGTTAGTGTCTTAAATTAATCAACTTCCATTATATCTGTCGTTATTGGAGAAGTCTTCTCTGTCATCATCGTTAATCATATAATCTCGTAATATATAAGTATCAGGTACGGGCAATGTTGAAGAATCAGACGGATTTGTGTTAGCTCGTGCAACGAAACGTTTCTTTGCTTGCTCGACGATGAAAATTTGAAAACATTAATCGTTTCATGTTGATTTTTAACGTCAGGTAAGTTGTAGTGCTTCAGTGTGGGTGTGGGGTGGGATGTACACATCAGTGTTGACAAAGGGAAAACTTTGACTTACATCTACACCCTTGCATCACATAGCAAAGTGAGTAAAAATGAATATTCTGCTGTTGTATTTAGGGTTTATTTGAACAAAAAATCACATTATTGTTTTCTCTACTGATAATGAGAGTTAGAATTAACAAAAAAAGTCACAATATCTCACACCTAGTTACAACAAAATCTGCCTAAGTTTAAATTTGCTTATAAAATACTATGCGCTATGTCATTCAAAAGTCACCTGGCAGTTTTTAACCCTTTGGGGACGGGGTTACTGTACTATATGAAGCACAGATATGTGCTTCCCGTCCTCAAAGGGTTAATGGCGGACAACTTTTAATAGAAACAAGAACGAAAGCTGCGGTTTTCACCGTTGAAACGAAGAGACTTGATGATATCAAACCATACAAAAATCATTATATTTAACATTATTTTTTGGAGAATTTTGAAAAATTAAGATTTTCAAAAAGCTGAAGTTCTCATAGTACTTTGAATTTTCAGTACACGAGTTTGTTTGATGTTGATTTTTCACAAGCCTCAGAAAAAAATAATAATATTATGTTTCTTAAATGGTTCGATGTCTTGAAATTTTCTCTTTTTAACGATGAAAGCTACAACTCTATTGTTTCTATTAAAGACTAATCGCGATGAACAACTACTCAGTTACTTTTGGACCATCTTATATATAACTTAAGCAAAAAGCATTACAAGATTTAAATAAAAAGACGTTCTGTTAGGATATACATAAGATTTGTCTTCTCCTTTATCAAATGATGATATATAATGTACATGAATATCTAGAAAATGTTTTTGACGTATAGAATTACGAAAAAGATTCGATGGTAATGGTATATAATGATAATCTTTTATAATATGAGTATGATTAAGTATCATTTGATGATGATGATCTATTGTTATATTCACTTGAGAATATAAATAACGTACATAAAAATAAAAATGAATATCATCAGTTGAATTATTATCAATCATAAGATCGAGTGATTTTGATAAGGACAATTTTGTATAATTAGTATAAGGAATTGACGTAAGATTCCAAATATGTTTAAGTTTATATAAATGTGAATAATCATTTGTTAGCACACGTTTGATATGTGTTGTTGGAAATTTAATTTCTTCTCGATTATACGTAAAAATTCCATTTGATTCATTTTCAACATCAGATAATTGTGTATAAATTGCAGCTGATAAACGTGATGAAAGATTAATTATAAGTTGTTCGAATGCGTATGTCATTAAATAACGATCATTATATGCATGATAACTCCAACCAGATTTTATTAAACCTAATCCACCACATTCACCAATAACTAATGCTCGGTTTTCATCATTAAATGATGGTAATAGAACTTTTTTTGAATAATCATGTATATCTCTAATGTGTCCAATACCTTTTCGATCATGCCATCCACTAACAGGAATAAGTAAACGATTTCTATCATACGATTGCAACCACGTTGCTAAACGTATTGTATCATATTGACCCCATCCTTCATTAAATAATACCCAAATAATAATTGATGGATGAAATGAAAGAAAATCAATCATTGCTTTTAATTCATATTCAAATTGAATTTTAGCTTCAAAGGTCTTTTTAGTAGACGATGATCGATGTATGAATAAATCATAATCTGTATTTGGAGTCATTGGTAAATTATTCTTTCTATTATTACGAAATAATTTAAATTGTTTATTAACATCTTGTTGAGTTTCATAACATTCATAAGAATCTCCTGCAGGCATATCTTGCCAAACAAGTATACCTAATACATCACACCAATAATACCATCGTGATGTTTCACTTTTCATATGTTTTCTTATTGTATTAAAACCTAAACTTTTTATTTGTTCTATATCATATCGATATGCATCGTCAGTTGGTGCACGATAAAGACCATCAGGCCAGTAACCTTGATCAAGTACTCCAAACATAAAATATGGTTTATCATTAAGACAAATTCTTTTTGGTTCAGAACAAAGAGAAATTTGTCTAAAACCGATATAACTATCAATATGTTCAATAAATATATCGTTTTGATATAAATCAATACGAATATCATATAAATATGGATTTTCAGGTGACCAAAGACTAATATCTTTTAAAGGAAATGAAATTTCTTGTTCAATATTTGGTTTCGAAGAAATAAAATCACTTAAATATTTCTTATTTTTTTGTATAATATTTATTTTTAATATAAAGCCAAGTTTTTCATAATTGATTTTATTTTTTTTTAATATTTCTTTTCGTTTTACATATAATAGATATTTCTTTTGTTTATCAAAGTTTTTTTTAGAATAAATTTTCATATTTTTATTTGGTGAACGATAATCATTTGAAGTTGTTATTATTGATTTCAAATCAATACGATATTTTAGAAGTACATCTGTTGATAATAGTCTTGTTTGAAATTGTAAACGATCAATATGAACAAGTGGTACTCGTTCTAACCAAACTGTTCCCCATATACCAGAACATGGAGTATAAAATATTAGTTTTCGTTTGTTAATATCTAATATCTGTTTCCCACGTGGTTGATACCATTCATCGGATGGATCCCAAACACGTACAACTAATTCATTATCTTTATAATTAATGAAATATGGTGATATATCATATGAAAATGGTTCATAACCACCTAAATGTTTTAAACCAACTATATGTCGATTTAAATAAACAACTGTTTCATAATCAACTTTATCAAAATGTAATATTATACGATACTGAAGAGGATTATCATCATACCATGCTCGAGATTTTATTTGAAATTTTAATTTATACCATAGATACATGCTTGAATCAACACGTTCTTGAATGCCAGATAAATAAGATTCAACAGGAAATGGTACACGAATATATCGATCAAATTTTTTTGGAAATGTTTCATTGATAGATGTTATTGTAAATGACCAATTTCCATTTAAATTTAACCATAATTTTCTTCTTAAGTGCGGACGTGGATAGTCATTTTGGAGTGGTATTTTCTCTTCCATAACTTTTTTTGTCCATTGTGTTGAATTCTTTGTCATGGACTTCATCGATAATATCGATGAAGAAGCAGACAATCGAGTGTCAAAGGTAAAAGAAATAAAATATCTTGCATAGAAAAGATAAAATAAAGTGATAAAAATTCCACAGGAAATTATAATCTATGAGAATTTTTTATATTATATAAGAGAACTTTGAGTTATTTTTTACATACTTTTGTTAAGCACTTCTTTCTTTGTTTTTGATACTTTAAGCGAATCCAATTCATTGATTGTATCTTCAATTTGTTTGATATCATCTGTTTGTGTGGTTCCGAATATTTTTTGATGATACTGCTGATTCTTACTTTTGACTTTATTTGCTTTGCATCCTGTACAATCTATACTATCTGAAGTAAATAAAAAAGGGAGCTGTACAGGAAAATATAAGACTGTTACATGATTTTACACGCATGAGTACGTGCATGCACCTGATAAATTGAAGAAAAGCTATGCGTAGCGGGACGGTTAATAGTCATTGCCGAGCTACTGATATCATTTTGGTTCAGTCGATGATTAGTGATCGAGAATATTAGATTGATGGATGCATACCTTATCAAAAGAAAGAAAAAAAAAAGAATTAATCAATCAAGCGAAACAATACTCTTGACACAGCTAAATTTTTTTAATGTCCTAAAGCATTATATTTCTATCTCATGTTTCTAGACAAATCGTTATATTTACACCTATAATGTTTATAAAAGATCAAGAGTGAACAATTCACGATTTTATGTATTTATTTTTTATGTTGACAGTGGTCAATGTATAGATGTCACTTCAAAGATATTAAATTTATTTCATGATTTTATTTTCTATAAACAAATAAAAACAAAAAAAGTTCCTAAAATTAAAAAAAAATCCCTTTTCATTACTTTTTAAAGCAATGAATCAATAATAGAAATGAGTAATCAATGCCAAACAGGCCAGAGTCACTGCTAGCATTAGCATTCAAGTGGTACACTCTAGTACACGCCTCCAAACAAAACAACATTCATACCCAAATCTATTGAAATTTTCAACAGGTTTTTCATATATTTGATTACGCATTTTAATCATTTGTCTTAATTAATAATTCCATAATAGTATTCTGAGCAAAAAATAAAACTTTTTAAAAAACTTTCTCAAAAACCAAGGAAGAAATAGCTGATTCTGAAGTGCTAGAGTCATTGGAGGATGTTGACTTTCAGTTGATTGACACTCTCCGACACGTCATTCAATCAGGTCCAATAGTGTTAGCAGACGACATGTGGGTTATTACATTTCGAGATATCGATGAACATGACGCTGCATCACATCTAGCTATCGATGTTTCCGCACTCTTCAACGTGGATTTTTCGGATCAGTGAATGTTTTACCATCAGAAGTTGGTGTAGTTGCCATTGAGTTTGGGTGCACAGCTAAAAGTCTCGTAAGCGTCACAAAACGTCTACAGGAATATAGCATAAATAATGGCCCCAGAAGATCTTGCTGAAATGCTTGAAAATGATGCTATTATTTTCGGTGTGGACTGTCGGATCAGTCTAGTATAGCAAGAACTTCATCATGAACTTCGTCTATCTGCGCTGTTCCATTAAAGAACGGTTGAATGAGAAAACATTGATGCTGGACTATAACATTGATACTCACACTCTTTATAATTCACCACATTAAACATGCACTAATTTCAATGCTAACCTTTGGCCATTTGGTTTTATAACTTTTTCACACTTTTTTTACAATATCAAATTATTTCTTTTTGTTAAAAGATTTGAATAATTTATTTCAATATCATGAAAGGTTTCTTTTAGTTTCAGATGATGAAAATTTTCTTTTTCAGTTTCATTATAAAAAGAAAAAGTTTCTTGTTTAGACTTGAATTTATCATCAATTGTTGATACATCAAATAACTCATCATAATATGATAAAAGACATACAAAAATATTTGATGAAATTCTTTCGAAGATTCTTCCACGTTTACAATACTTTGAACACAATATACAGTCGCATTTTTAAAAAAAATCGTTTGTATTAGAAAATTTTTTTCGTTCTAAAGAACATTGTCAAATGATTGATCCATAAGTTTTTATGATAATGAAACAAGTGTAAACTTTTATCAGAATTGAAAAATATTATTCAATAAGGATAGTTGTGAGTGTTTATATGTATAAAACAATGTTTCTGAAAAACGCTTAATGATATGCTCACCTTTGTATCTCTCTTGTTCTTTTTTTAAGGTAGAATCTTTATTTTTCCATAATAAGTTACTTTTAAATACCGTATACAATGACTATTTATTTGCTGAAATTACTTTAGTGGCTGCCAAAATATATCGTTTGGAAAATTTCTATGAACTTTTTTCTCATGTACTATTTGGCTTCTCGTGTGACAAGTTATGCAAAAGCACTGAAGAGTTATGAAATATATCCAATTTAGAAGGAATATTCATATTGGCACATTTTTTTGCTACTGAAATATAGTGAAATGTGTCCTAACATTAGTATAAATTGATGCGTTTTACACATAGAAAATTAACTAGCCATAAACTGTTGCCGAGATTATAGACTTCAATACTGTCTGATGATAATGTTTACACGAAAGTCTTCTTGGATCTTATTTCTGTCGTATTTAAGATTGTTTTTCGCTATGCTGGAATCTATGTTCTGTACTATCTTTTCTTGCTTTTCTAATTTGCTTTCGACTGTTTCGCTTCAAAATTGTCGTTTTCGTCATTTTTCTCCGATAAATCTCCTTTCCATATTTTCGACTTCTTTGTTCTTCCATTATACGGAATGTTCTAGTAAATAGTTCTCTCGTAAAATAGTTAAATATAATGAAAGGATGTCGGAGTAGTTGTGAGACAATGTGATGGTTTTCTCATTACTCACACCATATAACACACATCATTCTTTGTTCAACTAGAAATTTTTAGGTGTCCTAAATCTTTATTGATTATTTTTTTAAGTAAAAAAATGAGCACAAAATGACAAAGTTCGTTTGGTACTGTTTGAGTGCATATATACGGCCGCCCATTGACGAACATTGATCGATGCAACGTAGAATTGAGAAGAAGAAGATCAATTGAAAGAAATAGATCCGTCGTTGAGTGAGAATGAAAATTCACCCTATGTTGTCTGAATTTTATTGGTGACGATGAGCGGAACGTTCATGTCAATGTTCATAAAAATACCAGAAACTTCAACTTCGATCAAGAGCTCATAATACAGAACAATTGGAGCATTAGCATGCGAGGAAGGATGTTCGACCCAACACGTAGGAGGAATCGTGCGCGGTACGGACAGTTTGAAACTTCTATGAAAATGTTCGCTTCGAAATGATTGAATTTCTTTCAGTTCCTGATAAAGCATTCGGACTTGATCATTTTTGAAAGATCCTATCTTCCATTTTTGAAGGAGACATGCTGATATTCCACGTATCAGCATTTGCTTTGGATTGCGCAACTCAATATCATATATCAAACTAGTCCCAGCAACAACGACATTCTTCTGAAGAGTGACACGTAAATAAACACCTTGTCGATTCTCCTTTTGATTCTCGACTGTCGTCACGTTTACAAACGATCTAGATTTATGTCGAACAATAATAGGAAAGTCTTTGTGAATATTCTTCTTGTACCATTCGGTTCGTACCATTCGTACGCGAACTAAGTAGTGAACAAATGGACTAAATATGTTGGCCTGTTTAATTGAAGGCATTAGGTCATGATTGAGACGACCACTAAACGGCCAAATGTGGCTGCCAAATGGTAGAAGAATTTCACTTTCATTATTGATTGAGTATGACAGTAGCTGTTGCTCGAAAAATACCACGTAACGTGTAACTTTAGATGATGATTTGCCTGTCTTCTCTGATGTGACGTAGGCAACCTCACCAACCAGTGTAACGTTAATACTCTTTAATTTCAGTTGCCTGGAAGCATCATTGGAGAATTCGATCGTGCCCGTAACGATCTCACCAGTTGCATACTCGATCTTGTTTTGATCAGTAAACTGACACTTGATACTCCATCCGGATGGTAGATCGCTAGTTGAGTCTATCGCATTACAAAATTATGAATATTTCTCTTAGATTGTTTACGAATCTGAAGTTTTCAAAGTAAATTTCTACACTAATTTGAAATCAGATAGTGTAAAGAAAATAATTTGCCATCCAATTTAGTGGAAAATTATTATATCGCCGGCAAAAATCGACGTAGAACACATGAAAAAGGCTAAAAAAAATCTAAGTTAATGCTTTACTGTCATATTTTAGCTTTAATTGCGGTCATTGATATAAATTTACTCTGAATGTATGAGCTCACTATCTAATATTTCACTCGAGATACTGATGTCACATAATTCAATGGAAAGGTATGTGACTCTTCAGACCAAAGAAGTTCTGAAAAATTGTTCGAAAACTTTGAGTCTGAGCTTTTAATTACTCAAGTTTCAATAAGCTCATCGGAATTTTAACTTTAACAGAACTATTTGCCCGTATTCTATCTGCAAAAGCTACGTTACAAATTGAAAAGCTATGGATATATCTAGGAATTAGTATCTAGAACAGTCTTTATTCATACCTTTTGTTCCTTTCCATATTACATTATATAAACCGGTAGACTTTAAAAGAACGAAGCCAACAGGAATAACAATGAAAATAATTGCAATGCACAACACTTTTACACACGGTATTAGGCAAGACTTATTTGCATTAACAGTTGGTTTGTAAGTAACCGTCGTTGTCGGTTCTCTGGTGTGATCTGCAGGTTCCATAGGCGATAGTTCTGTTTTCATCGTGCTTGTCTGTTGAATAAAATTTTCTTTTCATATTGTTTTAACATAAGATTGTCACTTACCTTAATACTTTCGTCGCATTAAACACAGATTATAAAACATTTCTTTTAACAAACTAAATTCTTCAGACTAAACGGCTAGGGTCTACAAATCGAGTATTCGTTCGAAATATTCTCACTGCCTATCTAAAATACATTTTAGAGATTATTGAATAGTTAATTTTATATTTTCTTT